CAGATCTCTATTAAAAATTATACTCTTCGGCACATTATATAGCCTTATTCTTCTCGGATATAGACCTCTACCAAATTTTTCAAAGAATTACTAATCCAAATTGCTAGGAATTGAGCTGATTTAGTGAGTCTATCAATAACAACCCAAATGGCATCGTGTCCTGAAAACATAGTTATGAAATTCATGGAAATACTATCCCATTTCTACTTAGGAATATCTAATGTTGCAACATTCCTGCTAGTCTCTAGTGATCTATCTTAACCTTCTGACAAGTCAAACATCGAGTCATAGATTCAATCACATCTTTCTTCATACTAGGTCACCACTAGTATCGCCTCATGTCCTGGTATATTTTTGTAGCTCCCAGATGGATTGTGTACTTACTACAATGAGCTTCACTTAAGATGACTTTCCTCAAATCAACATCGTTAGGCATACAAACCCTATCTTAGTAAATAACAAAACCATCATCATTGAAACTAAAATCTATAACTTGATTTGCTTTAATTTCTTCTCTAATCCTCAGAAGACTCTCATCTTCTAGTTGTGCCATTCTCAATTGTCTCCAAAAATCATTATTGACTTATGTGGCATAAGCACCAACTAACACCTTTAATGGTGCATCCTGCTATGACTCAATAAATGATTTTATTAATCTATGCTCTCGCATCATCAGACTTGCCCCAACGCTTGGAGCCCATCTGCTTGACCGATGAAAACGGCCCCCATCCTATTCCTATTCTATGTGCCACTAATTGAACATTACATACAAAACTATGGTTAAAAGTTTTAAGATTCGATAGATGCAAGGGCGCAAAATTATTAACATTACGTAATTATGGTGGTGGGGCATCTCTTAAATACATTCCTTAAATGGGATTCATATCTGAAAGGCCCCAGAAAATTGTAGACTTCTCTTTCCTAGATGGTATTTCAATTTAAAGTTGTAATCCTTAAGGAGTTTCATCTATCTCCTCTACCTCATATTCAACTCCTTTTGATCCACTAGGTATTTTAGACTCTTATGATTGTTAAACACAATAAACACCGCACCATACAAGTAATGGCGCCAAATCTTTAGAGCAAACACTACTGCTGTGAGCTCTAAATCATACGTAGGATAGTTCTTTTCATGTAGTCTCAATTGTCGTGAAGCATATGCTACAACTCAATTGTCTTACATTAAGACACATCCAAGACCTCTCAACGATGCATCTGTGTATACCTCATAAGGTAATCTCAGATTAAGGATAATCAACACCAGTGCTATAGTTAACTTCTCTTTCAGCTACTAAAATGCTACTTCACACTAGTCATCTTATATAAGGCTGATCTTTCCTTATCAACTTAGTCAAAGAAGAAGCTATTTAGGAAAATTCTTGAATAAATCATCGATAATACCAAGTTAATCTAAGAAAACTACGTATCTCTGTGACTAAACTATGATGTTCTCACTTTAATATTACATCAACCTTATGTGAATCTACTGAAATTCCATCTGCAAACACTATGTCCTAAATATTAGACTTCCTTCAACCAAAACTCATACTTATTGAACTTGGTATATAATTTCTTATCCTTTAAAATCTGGAGCACCATTCTCAAACGCTTTGCATGTTGCTCTTTATTTTTAAAATAGGTCAGGATGTCATCTATGAAGACCACTACAAACTGATCTAAATATGGCCTGAATATTCAGTTCATGTAGTCTATGGATACTGTAGGTGCAATGTCAAACCAAATGGCATAACTAACAACTCGTAATGGCCATACCGAGTTCTAAAAGCTGTCTTTAGCACATCCGTTGCATTGAGTCTCAATTGATGATACCTTGACCTCAAGTCAACATTGAAAAAGACTGAGGCACTAGCCCGTTGATCTAAAAGATCATCTCTCCTTAGTAAAGGATACTATTCTTCATAGGTACTTTGTTCAACTGCCAGTAATCGATGCAAAGACATAGATTACCATCCTTCTTTCTCACAAATAACACTAGTGACGCCTAAGGTAATACACTCAGTCTAATAAATGGTTTGTCTAATAATTCTTCAATTTACTTCTTTAATCAGCTAATTATGATGGTGACATTCTATATGGGGCCTTTGATATTGGTTTAGTTTCAGGAACTAAAGAGAACTCTACTTACCTTCCCGAAGGTAATCTAGTTACTTCATTAGAAAATACCTTTAGGAACTCACTTACTACCCCAATCTTCTTGATTCCACCATCATACACCGTGCTAGCTACAAAGAACATCATATACGCATCACAACCTTATCAAATTAACTTCTTTACACTTACTACTGATAAGAACTTAGGCTGCTCAAAGGAATCCACTGTTACACATAACACCGGCAATAAAACCACTTTTTTGGCACAATCAAGCATAGTATTATTCACTGCTATTTAATCCATGCCAATAATCACATCTATTCCTTTTATAGGAATACAAGTCAGATTGATCTTGGAAACTCTATCCTCAAATTGAATCTTCACACCTTGACGTGCTTTACTTGTAATACTAGACGATCCAGAAGGCATCATTACTCTAGTAAGCACATGTAATTCTTGTAATGACAAATTCAATCTACCCACATGCTCCTCAGACACAAAAGAATGTGTGGCACTTGAATCAAATAATGCTTTTACTTGTTGATCACAAACAAAAATCATACCTTTGATCAAATTCGGAGACGCTCTAGCCTCTTCGTGCGTGACTGCAAACACTCAGTAAGGAACTATAGATCTTTGCTTAGTCCCCTTAACTCTGCCCTCTAGGTACTGTCTCACTATGTATCCTAACTTGCCATATTTAAAGCAAGCCTATTATCTTCCCAGATGAGATCGGCTGCAAATGTTGCACTGGAGTGTCCTTCCAGTACTTAAAGTCAGTGATGGAACATTCGACGCTTGCCTTGAAGGCTGTGGAGGTCCAACTCTCACACCCTCACTCCTCTAAATTGATCCCCAGTAACATCCCAAATTTCTATTCTTGTATTAATGCTAATTAAGGATTGAATTAGTGATTTAATATGGGATTAGGGTTTTAAATTGTGAAGTGTTGTATTAGCTCTTTGGAGTGTTATATAAACAAATATGAGCATAAGAAAGAAGTTTTAAAGCAAAGCATGGGAGCATAGTGAGGATTATCCTTACTATGCCACGCGCTGCGGCGGAGGGTGGATGTGCCGTGGTGCATGGTGCAGAATTTTGATAAGTGGCTTCATGGAATAGCTCGTGAAACATAAGGAGAAATAGAGTTAGAGGGGTCAGACATGGAGGAGGTGCCAACATCTACTAGGGTGAGTAAAATTAAGAGCAAGGACGACGTTTTTGACCTGTTACTTTGTGACTGGTTTGAGTCAGAATGATAAAGCTTTGAAGCCATAGGCATAATTTACCCTAATCTAGAGAGTAGTGAGAGAAAATGTGTTTGTGAGGAAGATAATGATTGTTGTGAGTGACAATTAAGCATGATATGCATGAGCGAATGTGAATTGTGAAAGTGATAGCGATTAGGTGTTAAATTACTATAATTGGCACTTTTTGTCAATAGAGTTCTTGACTCTGGGTGCCTCTATTGTGTAGATTCTAGTGTGTAATGTGTGAATTTCAAAAAGAAGCTTGAATAGGGTTGTTGGAACACAGGTAACCTTTTTCTGGTAAATAGAAGGATTGAAATAATCATATAGTTTATTATGTTTATTAACTATTATAACTGTATAAAAGTAATTGTATAACTATGGTTTAGCTGCTTTTTATGCATGATTTGGTATTGAAAATAAGTTTAGCATAAAATGAATTTATGAAATTTGATATCTAAAATGATTGGACTATTATAACCTGTTTTTATGTACCTATGTTTGTGTGTGCATTTTTTTATTTAATTATTATATTATTGATTCAACTATCAATCAAACTGGTTAAATCATGAGAATTGTGACTCGTTAACCTTTTCAATTCACCATTTGGTCTAGTATTTAACTTGTACAAGTCTCTTTCATCAAAGGTAGAGTTAGGAAAATATGCTTTAACCCATTTCGCAAGTTGGGCTAAGTAAATTTGTTAATTTTCACAAATAAGTTATGTCAGCCCGCCTCGCTCAACTGCATAGAATGGCATGTAGATTAAGTGCGGGCCCTTTTTGTTTTGCATTTTACAATTTAAACCTAAACTAAAATTCGAAACCACATACCATGGTCAGATGTAAAAACTATCAAGTTCAAAAGGGAAGGAGAAGAGAAAATAAGAGTAATCTGGCACCCCAGCCTACCAACGGTACAGGCCAGGCTGGAAAAAACCAGCCTGTTTTATAGGTGAGAGTCAGTAGGCCTGAAAAATTACGCCCTGTCCAACTCCATTCCATAAAAGGCAGGCCAACCTGCATTTCCAACTCTACTAAAAGGAGTGTCGCTATTCGCCATGTGTTCGTTATTTTATGCGTATATGTACGTGGCTGTGCATTTACTCACTCTAAAAAAGGAAAAGAAAAAAAGAAAAAAGAAATACGAATCTAACATTTTTTTTGGTCACTGCTAGCTCAAAAAGGCATGTTATTTTTTCGCTCCCACAAGGAACAATTTCACCTCTAACATCCCAAGTCTATTTTGAAAAACGTATAATAGGCCATTAAAGCAAGGAACATCCTGACGAAAGAGCTCTATTTGTGGATTTGCTTCAAATGCGAAATGATGGTTGAAAAAAATATATATAATTGCAAAAATATACTGCATATAATAAATGTCTTTATGGGTCAAAAACCAATTTAAAACAAATAAGAAATAAAGATTATAACAACACCTTAAAATGTAACATCAACATTTGACATACGGGCCATGGGAATCCTAAATAAAAATGAAAATGGATAGTCACTCATGGAACCATTGTAGCAAATCATATTAAACATTATTTAAATACTTTACCCTAAACTTTGCTAAAGAACTCGTAATTAAAAAAAATTGCAAAAATAACTCTTCTATTTTGATAGGCAAGAAGTAACATGGTGATTTTCTCCTTAAATAAATTCCAGCAATCCTACAACAGAATACTGTCAAAAGAACACAGGAAAAATAGGTAATTCTACATCTACAGATATCAAACATGATTCAGTATCAAAAAAATAATAAATTAATTTTTTTAAAAAAAGAAAAAAGCTCTTCAAGCTTCAAGGATGTCATTAAGACAAACAAATGAGTAGTCACGCAGCTTTCACATAAAAGCACTTCGCCCACCCCTTCTGCTATGCCTGTCGTATGCAATATTGAATTTGTCGACCAGTTCGTTCATTGCACTACAGCAAGAGAAAGGGACAAAACAAATAACAAAGTGAATGATTCATTAATAACATCGGCCTGGGGATACAAGGCCACGCTGCAGGATAAATAAACATCATATAATGGTGCATCCCTTGCGTGGTATTCTGTCCTATCCTTTTTATGAGACCCTATGAACTACTTTTATAAGATTAAAAAAATTAAGTTAGAATTAGTTAAATGTCAAATTTTTACAATTACCCAAAATTGCCCTTTGATTGGTATAGCTCATTGTGCAAAGGGAGTGAAAGAGACAAGGACATTTTAAAAAGAATTAAGTTGCAAAAATGTGTAGAAACTTTTTCTCTACAGCTTTCGGTATCTTTAAGTTAACAATGATGCACCATTAATTTTATAAGAAGACCTAATGCAAATTTAACAAGAATTAATCTGGTTATCAACTAACAAAAGCCACAAGCTAAGGAATCAGGGAGAAGAGGAGAAAAATTTCCAGCAATTTGAAGGAATCAAGCAACCAATTCACTTCCACACGGTTATCAACTTATTAATCTGGTTCAACTGCACTAATTTTTGAGGATGGTTTACAATTATATTAAAAGACCTATAAAAAAAAATACTAATAAGCCAAAGCAACAATTGCTAACATGTCATTGTCATACCTTGAGCAGTTGGTCATCATGGCAAGGTAAGTAATCAGTAAAGTATCATTGTATTCCTACAAAAGGCAGAAAACAAATCAGATATTGTAATGTAAGAAACTGCAACACAAGCACTAAAAAATTGTAAGCCTCTGATCCCAAAAAAAACAAAACAAAATTTAATAAAGCCTACAACCCAGCTTCTAAAAGTGATAAATATAGCTGCACTGCATTCATCATATGCTATGAGGGCATGAAACCTTGATAGAAACAACTAATAGTAATACTCATCTAAAATTTAATGAAGCTCTATTCAATTAGGCGTTCCCCCTAAATAAATTGTGTTTCCAGTATGTCAATTCGGTTTGCAAAAATTTTCTGCGCAAATTCTAGATTCCATAAAGTTCCCTACTTCAATTTCTTCCAGTGTCAGTGAAGAAACCAATTTTCAAACCACCAAGCTTCACTGCTCTCTAGCTCTAACCAGAGAGGAATCCATCGATCTACTTCCAAATGGACCCTCAAGTAATAAATCAACTAAGTCCATTTGGATATCCATTGGATAAAATTGATCATACAAAAAGTTGATTAATAAGATTGATTTTGAATATAACTGATTACGTTATGTGATATAATTGATTTATAATAAGATTAATTTTAAGTATAATTGAAAATTAGGTAAAATCATGATTTTGTAAAAATATATCCAAACACCCTATTACATGTCAAAATCAATTAGGAATTCAAAACTATGTTTTTCTTTAAAATATCCAGACACAATTGTTGCTTAATCAATTATGAACCTAAAAACATGACACCCCAATACATGCCAAGATCAATTATGAACTCAAAAATTATCTCAAACTACCATTACCTGCTTTTCAATTTAGCGTTTTAATTATACTCTCCTAAAAATTTATCCAGAAACCATAGTTTTGAATTCATAATTGATTTTGACATGTTACAAGAGTGTTTGAATATTTTTACGGTTTTCGGTTCATAATTAATTTTAGCATATAATATAAGTGTTTAGATATATTTTGCGAAACCAAGGTTTTAACATCCAAAATTGATTATTTTATGTATCCAAACTAGCAGTAATTCTCCATTTCTTGCAAAGGCAGCCAATATTTTCTCCTTTTTCCCTTCCATTTCCATATTACATACACAAAAATTATAAGGGAAAAAAAGGAAAAGAAAAGAGAACAGGCATGTCATCCAGTTCCCAGGAGAGGAATACACTCACCATCAAGAAATCATCTTGGAATTTCCCAGATTCAATAGCTGGCAATCTTCTCAGGAGACTTGATACTTGTCTTAACAGAGAATTGTCACAAGGTACATCACCTGCTTTGTAAAAAATAACGTATCCATTATAATTGTTTCAGAATGTTCCAATCTAAAGATTACAAACACAACGGGAATGAAAACATCGGGCTGTTGCTTCATGTAGACTGATAGCAAAACAGATGCATAAAAAACTATAGTGCACAATAGAAAATTATGCTTCACGGTATGCAATGTACTGCAACATTTGTATCATTGGTCGTTTTCTATCTGATATGATTTAAAACATTTTAAAAACACAGGTGTATTTTTAAACGCTCTAATACAGCACAACAGCTTATAGACAATCATAGTTACAAAATGGAAATGGATATTGATATTTAGTTTGAATTGAAATCTATAGTTTTAATTTGTTATGTGCTTTTCTTATTAGCATGTTTTGAACATTTTTATTTTACGTTCAATATGTTTTTAAGTAATCAAAGAGTAACATTGCTTGATTTTTATTTTAACTGAGAATTTATCTACCCATAACTAAAAAAAATCACCAACAAAAAAAAGTTTCCAATTTATCCATGATGTTATTCTACTTTTACGCATAGTGTTACTAGTACAATTATATTTTTCTTTTAATCACCAATGATATGAAACACTAAAAATACGTCAAATACATATTAACATCTAGACACAATGAAAATTTGTTTCCATTTGTCAAGATGTAGATATTTCTTTTTTTGAGCAAAATGCTAAGATGTAGATATAATTTAATAGTCTTGTCGGTTAAGAAATGAGTCACTTATAGAACCCAAGGTAAGAAGTACAAGTGTCATTAAGAGATTATAAAATTTAGAATATGTAGAGGATGAGAGTGAGAGTCAGCATAGTCTAGTTGAGTCATTTGTAAATACAGATATCTCTTAGTCCCTTCAATTTCTCCATAACTTTTGCTTTTCCTATTTTATGAAAATGTATTGAAGAAGGGTACAACACACCTTAATCCTAATGTTAGCTTCAATTCAACCCACAAGAATAAAAATAAACAAAGAAGGAAAATAAAATATATAAAAGAGGGAAAACAGAGACTTGAGTTCAATTTTCTTAATCATATCTGAAGATATTTTTCATTCCGTTATTGGACATTAAATTGTGAAGTCACTTCTTTTAAGGATTTGTTAATGTTGGCAATGACAATGATACAGTATAATGGGTAAGTGATTTGTGACTGTTTTGCTGCAAAGAAAATTGCAGTCGAAGCTCTCGGTAAGACCCAATGTGTTAGGAGTTGCATATTTTTATTTAATTAATATGTCACCGGTTCGACCATTGGTCCAATCTAATTGGACCATGTGAATCATGAACCGCTGACCTTTCTGATTCAATATCCGATCCGGTTTTCAAAACATTGGGCTCTTAGAGAGTAAGCACTAAGCATTATTAGGTGGTAATAGTAGCATGGACTATTATATCTCTTACCAACTAGTTTAAGAAATCATAGATATATTTTCAATTTATTTCATTGATATATTTTAATTTTTAGGTGAATACTAAACAAAATTTAGTACTATAATAACATTTGATATCATGTATCATCATATTAATATTTGATAGGAGACTTGTTAGTATGAGATACCAAGTCCCACGTTCAACGGTATAGGATGCTTAATGGGGTATTCAAGTGGATCAGTTCTCTCATCTTAATAGCTAGTTTTTGTGATACAACTCCCTATCCCACTTAGGTATCCATCAATAAGTATCAAAACCAAGTTGTTGGTGGCTCCAAAGAAAGCCACCCAAGAAGGGTTTTGACCAACTAAAGGCCAAGTTAGGTGCCATGAAGTACAGTAGCCGAGACATTAGATCTCTATGGGGAGCCAATTGATGAAGACTTTGGTAGCATGGGATATCAAGTCCCATGTTAAATAGGATGTAATGCCTAATTGGGTATTTAAGTAGGTTGGTTTCCTCACCTCAATAGCTAGTAGCTTTTGGGATAGATTTCCCATCCCACTTAACTAACATTAATATTATATGCTAAATTTGTGCTAGTGAACTGGTGGATACAAGCAACTAGCTAATTCAACAAGTACGGAATTCTAAACAAGTTTAATTTTTACTTCAAAAACCATCACCAGTGTGTTCGGATTAAGATTAGATAAAATTGATTGTGGATAAAATTGATTTATATGATTGGTTTTAAATATAATTGATTATGTTTTGTAGTATAATTGATTTATAAAATTGATTGAGTATACCTAAAAATAAGAATCCATGATTTTCTGAAAATATATCCAAACACCTTTATCACATGCTAAAATCAATTATGAACCCAAAACTATAGTTTTATTAATTCTTTTTCTTTGGTTGCACACAACTATCCACCTATAAGAAGCAATCCTATTCGAAACAAAATTGAGCACTAAATATGAGAACCTCTTCCAACAAGGATTTAAACCTCAATTCACCTCATTATGAGAGACTAACCTCTTATGCTAGACCTAACCCACATTGTTTAGACCAAATATGCAAAGGAATTGGGCATTCACTGTGTGCCTCTACTATATGCAACGTGATTCAACGGCTTTAACACACATTCAACAGCTTTCATTTAATATTTTAAGGAAAAAAACCTCCAATAAGGAAAACATATCTCATGGTGATATGCTATAGTTACAGTGATGAGACGGTTTTACCTTTCTGCATTGCAAGAAGATAATGATGCAGCACCTTAATTCTGCTATGCAGCATTTTAATAGCACTGTGTACACCAGTAAGGTGAGCAGCCACTGCAAAGATGCCATATTATATAGCATAATGAAAATCAGAAATCAAGGATTGTTTCCATTCAATGAAAATGAGCTTAATGATAGGCATCAAGTCTAAGCAAAACAGAACGAGTCAATTAAAAACACTCACATTGAGTAGCAGCTGAACCGCCATCTGATGGCTTAAGATGTGCAACATGATCAACTGAAATTCGTTCTGCTTCAACAGTCTTCAAAAGAGTTTGGGTTTTTATGGGGGATGGGAGATAAGCCAAGTTTGTTTATTTATAGGGTGAAAAGTAACTAGAAAGGTGAAAGAAAACAGCAAAGTCAGGAAAATCCAACCTCAATAGTGTAGCTTGAGCGAACAAAGATCAGCTGCGGAATTCCATCTATTACATGCAGTTCTTCAGTTGAAATAGAAAGCACCCACGACAACAGAAGAGGATTCAGGCTCATCATAATAAGCATGTTAGAAGACAGGTAAAATGTGACCAACTAAGATACATAAAGCATGAGAATACGAGCTTTACACAAATAAAGCTTCTATGATTTCATGTATCATTTATTTCTTGACATAGAATGTAGTTAGAATATTCTCGAGTTACTTTCCTATTATCACTGAATATTAGGACCAGATTTGTTTATTTTACTGTCTATCTCTAGGGCCAAAAACAATATCCTATAGACCAGATCATTGTAAATACAAGGTGCCCTTCTCCATTCAATAGTAAAAAATTAAGAGAGTGCAAATAACATTACACAGAAAGATTCACTCAAGCACCTTCCCTTACTTAAACATACACAGAAAACCCAAGAGTAGAACAAATTTGCAAACTTTTGAGAAGCTGGTTCTCTTCCAAAACCAGATCCACAATAGGCTTGCCTGCTACTTTCACAGCTTTTCAGTTTTAAATTTCAGTCAACCACTATCTAACTGCTCCCTCCTACTTTATGATCATCATTTCTTTCTTTTACTTCCCTACTACTTCTTACTCATATCAACTAAATTCTATTTTATAGGACCTTTACATTTCCCTTTTTCTCTCCTTTTGTAAAATTTGTTAGCTGGCTCCGGCACAGTGGGTTAATCATTTGACTAAATAGGCATATTCTATTATTTTCATCTACAAAAAGTCATTGGCTAAATGGAAATTCAGAAATCAATCTTTTTTTTTGGGGGGGGGGGGCAGCAAAAATTCAGAAATTAATCTAGTCAGAAGGAATACTTAACATCCCTAGACCGATCATAAGGGAAAAAGTCACCAGTAGTAATGCAAAAATTTTATATCCATTAACTGTCTAGATTTTAGAAATGTGACTTATTGTCAAAAGATAATGTGAAAGATCTCCACAATTAAAAAGAACGGTGCAATGAATAGGAGTACAGGTATTAGGGGAAAGCACAAGTTAGCAGAAAAGGGTTTAGAGAAGGAAGAACCAGAGAGGGTGGGGAATAAGTGGAAACTGCTACTGGGAAAATCAAAATCAAAAACCTTATTAGGAGGAGGTGAACGAGAATTGAGTGATAATAGACAATAACGTAGGCAGGATTTGAGGAATTCTTGTGAGCCTGGCCCCTCAAAGGGCAAATAATTATATTTTCTCTTGTCTTTTTGCCCGCTAAAGTGATTGGCTCTACAGTGACTTACAAGAGGAAATCCAGATTCCCATTAGGATGCAACCAAAAACACGTACTAGCAATTGAAAAGATAATCACACAATAAACGGGACAATGGTGCAGATAACATACCACTTTCAAAAATACTGACAGGAAGATCCTTCTGAGCATGATTGATTGAAGGATTCAGAAGCACATAGACTGGACTTTCATTGATATCCATCAACTGTTACAACAATATATACACTATACCATAAGACACTACAGGAAATTGAATACATAAAATTTAAAATAAACTAAAGAAACCATGTGAATTTAAGTCTGAAGTAGAAAAACTCCATCAACAATAGATAATGACAAAGAAAATGCTGTGGAAGAAAGATTCAACAGTGTATATAATACATTTCATGGTAATATATTACTAGCCAAAAATCACAAAAGCCATAGGTGTTACATAAATCCATCCATAGAACACAGCAATGGAACTATAAAGAAGCAACCCAAAGCACCACTTAATAAAGAATAGCTGCCTGCTATCGTCTTTAGACAAAGACCTCAATAACTGAAGAATACTAGGAGTTAAGTACCTAAGGGCTGTGGCAACCAGAAGATAAATGAGCAGACAATTGGATAGGAAACTTAACAATGTCTCACACAGACAGCATACTCAGGGCTGGGAGATTAACCATTTAATTATTTTAGAATTTTTTTCAGCTCCCTTACCCTTTTGCTCTTCTGTTTCTCCTTCAATTTCCATCATTAACATTGTATGTACTAAATGCAATGTAAGACTACTCCCTTTCCTTCATATAACGTGCAGCTAAATGAAATGAAAATTGTAGATCTCATAGATAAAGAATCGAATGTTACATATAACTAAAGAACCAAATCACGTGAATACAATTTTTAACTTTTATGGTGCTTGAATATTGTGAATTGATCTTTGAATCAAATATGGAGCCTCTTTTGATTGAAGTTCTACAGAATTGGAGCATACTCACAATTGATATTTAATTATCAATCACCACTAATATTGAGAAGGGTAAGATAAAAGGTTACACTAACAGAAGCAGAATCATCCTTTGGCAAACACCCAATGTCCCAGATTACCAACATGGCCTCAAATAGTTGGCAAGAAATAAAACACTTCCAGCCTTTAAACCCCAAGTTACATAAGACTCCAGTCAAACAAACAAATTTTAAACTCTTGAGTTCCCCACTAGATTATAATTTGAATTCTTCAGTAAATAAATTGTTACAATAATGACAATTCTCCATATAGACAGAACAGTAATTCCAAGAGAAACATTGGGATAGTACAGATCTTATACCATTGAGGCACTTGCAATTGGATACAAAAATGTTTTCAACCTCACTAGTCAATCTCACATGCCTTCCTCATTATAGTTTTGGTGCCCATATTTTGAATGCAAATAAAAAGACAACAATAAACATTAACTCTACAGTTTGCATGATAACGTATATTGGTTCCACCACATGCAAGTATATACAAGTACCCACTTCAAACCCTAAAATGCATAGGGCATCCAACAACTTCAAATTAATTACTTGTATACTCAATAAAACAAGGATATGCTCGAAAGTTTAAAAGCAAGGAATCCAATTGAAAAGTAGAAATGCATAATTTAATTTGTCTTTGAATCTTACTTCTGCTTTCTTCTGGTGAGTTGTCATAACAAACTAAGTACAAGGCAGTGGCACAATAAATCTTTTAATTAATCTTTGCACCTAAAGGGATTCTTTGCCAATTAATACTTAAAGCATCATTCACGGATCTACAGATGATAAAGGCTTTTTTTTTTTTTTTTTCAATTCTTCTACTCGCTAAATTCTAATTGACATCTGTACTACAGGGAATGTTATCCTTTCTTGCGAATGTTCTAGTATTCTATGCAACCGGAACTCTCTTTTAATGCAACGTATTCAATTTGAATATTTGTTACACAAAGCAAATCCATCAGTGAATTTTCTTTGGTACTTTGGCACAATATTCACATTATAGGGGCTGCTATCAAGAGAGTTAGGAGCTTAACAAATTTTAAATAATGGGCTAAATTAGAATATGTCAAAAACCAAATTACAAAATTATATCCATTTACAAAATATGAATCCTATAATATATAACTGAAAACAAAATTAGATAATTATTTCCTGAGGCAACTAAATATACATAAATGTGAACAGCGGTAAGACCTGTGAACTTAAGACTCTAAGAAAGACACGAATGTAAGAGCATGAATGAAAAACAAATACACTTATCAATTCATAAGAGCAAAGCAATAATGTGAACTTACAGCTTTGTGAATATGCATATCTGATTCCTGGGCATCGCTCCCAGTTGAATACCATCCTAGTATGTAGAAGTGAGGGAAAACCTTCTTGTCTGTTTAACCGAAGAAAAAGAAGTTCAATAAGCAGACTACAAGAGTAAAAGGGAAAACAAAAACCACCCAGCAGAGTAGAGAATTCGTAGGAGCCACCCAAATTAAATCCTTTAACCAAACTTTAACGGAGAGAATTCGAATTGGTGATCATTAGGGGAAAGATTAATACTTAACAGAGCTCTTGCTTCTTTTCAAGAAAAGAACGGTCGAGGGAATGGGTAGAAGGGTCGTAAAGAAGTTCGAAGCTATTGAAGATCTCCACAGTGCGTCCTCTCTGTACTCCTATCACGCATCCGTATACCCTAGGTGGCAGCGAAACCATTCCGTCAGTAGCATTGGTGTTAGCGGAGGTAGTGCTTCTCTGATGGGATGCAATGGGCGGCTTCATCTGCGACTTAACCCGAGTATAATGATCCGATATGTTGACTATCACCAAGGGATGCAGCTTGAACGTCAATCCACTGCTCGACGATGACGCCATAATCTGAAGAACACCTCAAAATTGTTGAAGATAAACGAAGAAAAATCAATATATATATATATATATAACAAATTAGGGTTTTAGTGAACAGGTCATGAGTAGTACGGTTTTCGGCTTCTGAATTTTCTTTCCTCTGCCCAGGCGAACTAGTCGTATGAATATATACTTCTCCTGACCGGTTTTTTTTCCCCCTGTAACACCGTCGGATCACTGTCTCTGGGCAGGAACCAAACCTGGGGAAAGTAATCGAGCAGAAAGGCTTGGTTCAGTTAGAAATCATCGTTGTTTACATAAAACGGAACTGGGAGCCATCGAAGGGCAATACAAGGAGGAGGTCCAACATAATAGAAACTAGAAAGGTGCCTGGACTCTTATTAGGTGCTTGCTCTTCAAAACGGGACCAACTTGGCTCTCAGAGATGGGAGCAGTAAGAGTAAAACGGAAAATGTCGTATTAGGTCCACGACGATGATGTTATTCAACTAAAATCCTAACAAACTTTAAGATGTAACGTAGGGCTGAGGTTTAAATTTGTCCCTATTTATTTTTTAAAAGTATTAAATATTTGATATTTATAAGTGAAATAGTTTTACTCTTAAATTATTTTTTAAAAGAGCAAAAGCCCACTTCTGTTAATCAACCATTAATTTTTTTATTTTCTGCTGACGTGTCATGTATGTGAGACTCACACAGTGTGACATGTAAGACATGGCATGTCCTTTGATGCTAATTTATCTCATAAATTTTTTTTTACGAGCACTAAATACCCTAATGTCTTTTTCTTGGAGCAGTGGACACCTTGAAGTCTTATTAAAATAAAATTTAATAAATATTGTTAAAATATTAAGCATTTTAATATTTAATAATTTAAATATTACTATTTAAAACATTACACCACTCAATTTAATGTTTTAATATTTTTGATATTTTAATATTTTGTATTAAAAATGAAGCTAATGAACTTTCAAGTCATTGAAGAGATTTTTGTTTTCCCATCTCTCCATTTTTCTCTTGTTGAGTAACTTTTTTTGTAGCATTTTAATAAAATAAGTGATATATTTTAAAAAAAAATTATTGTCATATTGTTAGTCTTGATTTTTTATATTTATAATTTTATTATTAACATTGTAACATACAAAGAGTATTAAATTTGGGTAATACAATATTTTGAAAGAAAATCATTAGTTGACAAAAAAATTAAGGAACTTAATCAATATTAAAAATATAACTAAGTTTCGACGAGCACAAAAAGCGTAACAACTTGGGTACTATATCAGAGAAAAGATTGAAGATTGAAGCTAATGAACCTTCAAGTCATTGAAGAGATTTTTTTTTTCCCATCTCTCCATTTTTCTCTTGTTGAGTAATTTTTTTTATAACATATTAATGAAATAAGTGATATATTTTAAATAAATATTTTTATTGTCATATTGTCAGTCTTGATTTAACATATTTATGATTTTACAATTAACATTGTAACGTATAGAGAATATTAAATTTGGGTAATGCAATATTTTGAAAGAAGATCATTAGTTAACAAAAAAAAAATTAAAGAACTTAATCAATATTAAAAATATAAGTAAATTCCGACAAGCACAAAAAGCATAATGACTTGAGTACTATATTAGAAAAAAGATCGAAAATTAAAGATCGATATATAAAAAATAAAAAACTATCTATAAATTTATAAAATGCTAACAAAAATAATATTTAAATATAAAAAATATTAAATTGGGGTGATATAATGTTTTTAAATAATAATGTTTAAATTATTAAATATTAAAATACTTAATATTTTAATAATAATTATTTAATTTTATTTTAACAAGACTTTAGGGTGCTAAGCACTCCAATAAAAAAACTTTAGGGTGCTTAGCATTTAAAAAAAAAGAAAGTTCAGAGGCAAATTAATACTAAAAGATGTACTATGTCTTACATGTCACTGTACGTGAGCTCCACACAAATACCATATTAGTAAAAAATAAAAAAATTAATGGTTGATTAATGGAATGGGGTTTTTGCTCCTTTGAAAAATAATTTAGGGATAAAATTGCTTCAATTAAAAGTATAAGGTACCTAGCGCTCTTAAAAAAAGTATAAAGATAAAATTGAACCTTAACCCTATAATGTAAGTCTCTTGATGTCATTTATTAAGAGGAAAAAACTCAAATACCTTTAATAAAAAATTTTAAATTTTGAAATTTAAAACTTATTTGATTTTTTAAAAAGTTATCTTTCTAAAAAAAAGAAATATGTTTAAACATGTAATTTTTTTGAGTGAAAATAGTACTAAATCATAAAGGGGAAAATAAATCCATTGATCCTTATAGTTTTACATAATTTTAATCAAGTCCTTAGAAACTTTTTCCCTTTTAATTAAATCATTGAAGTTATTTCTATTAAACATGTTGCTCCTCCTCCTCCCAAAACATTAAACCATCGTTAAGTACATTGAGGTGTCTAGCAAGTGTACATGTACAGTCGAAGTCTATCCCGCTCTCCTCCTATCCCTCATCATCTCTACAGGAAAAGAGGCCATCTTCACACTTTCCATCCAATTCTACATTGCAAAAGAGACCACCGCTTTCCCTCCTTATTATCACCCCCTGCTTGTCAAATCCATTTGTGTTTTATCTATCTTCAAGTTTACAAGTTTTTTCTCGTGTTTCCCATGCTTTTTCTTTCAATTTAAATAAATTGTAAAGTGAGAGGAGACATATAATTTCCATGCAAATTTTATTTGTAGATTTGATTCTACAATGCTCTAATTGTTATGTGACTTACATGTTCCATCTACCAATGCTCTTACTCAAGCATGTTCACTTCAAGCTTTGTTATATCATCTCAATCAACAACCTCATGCTTTGCCAACTTTGTGATTGGGTCACCCATAGTCACAACAGCCACTCTTCTTCACCTTCCTCCCTCCATCATTGCTACTTGGTGCAAGGGTTCTCCAAATGTCTCTCCATTATCTTGTGGCACTACTACTTAAGTTAGATCTAAGTTTGGTTCATATGGATTTTTAGTGACATGAGGTACCAAAGTTTGGCTCCTCTATTTCTTCAACATTACATTGTTAAAAATTCAGAATTGAAGATTAGTAAAGAATGAGGACAAGTTATATGATCATATAGTAGAAATAGGAAGGAGGAACTTAGGAGATACAAGTGAAGGTGAAGGCGAAGGTGATTAAGGGTCAAAACATTGTTAAGTGTCGAAGCAAACATTGAGAACAATGATGTTTAGCCTCACTAGCATTCTTGTCCTTGCTTATGTTGGCAGGCAATATTGATGGAACAAAAATGGATTTATAAATGAAAATGAGATCTTTCTTGAAATTTTAATCCCACATGTTAAGGTTAGGTTGCTTAACATCGTTATATTTAACATTTATAGAGGTTGTTGCTTGCGACAAAGGGTTGTTAATGACTTGTGGAGCATAAGATGTTGACAACACTGGTTAGTGCAAGAGATGACTTGTGAGAGAGAGAGAGAGAGAGAGAGAGGGAGAGGGAATCTGACTTTGATGATTAAGAAACACATGTTGGCCACTTCATTGCTTTTAACAAGGAGTTAATTTTTTTGAAGAAGAAGGACTGATGTTTCTAACAAAGATAATTCTAAGGTGTCAATTAAAAGAAAAAAAATTATAAGGACTTGATTAAAAACTATGTGAAATTGTAAGGATGGGTGGATTCATTTTCCCATCATAAATATTACAAATTAATGAAGTCTCCTAGAAACTTTATGTAATGTCCATATGACATTACCAATTTATCACACTAATTACAAACAATCATAATTAAAGGTCCATCAATACTCTAATATAATCAAGGTTGATATACATACTTAAAATAATGAAAATAAATACCTTTAAAAATTAGGGATCCTAATACCTTTCAAAATCCTTTAGAAACTATTCAAAAATATCATTTTAATGTCCAACGGAAGCTTATATGGTGCATAATTGCCTTTCAGTACAAGAAGTGACACAAAACAAACTAGTTCAGAAGCAGCACTGTGTGCTGTGGCATACGCCACATGCACCGTGGCATATGGTACAAAGCCACGGGCTCCCTCTCTATGTCATGTACCACAGCATGTTACCATGTGCCGCTATGTACATGACAATTTTTGCTATCATAATAGATCCCAGAAGCAAGTTTCCGATGTGCACCATTTCCACATCAAAAGCCCAATCAAAGTGATTCAATTGCCTACATGAAGCTTGTTTGATAAGCTATATAATGAGATAAGTTTAAACATAATCCAATGGTTCAATCTCAATTTAGACACCTAGATATAAAAAGTTGTTTTTTCAAAAAATGTAAGCACCCAATGTATTCAAACTTCACATATTAGCTCATTAGATTACTTTAGGCCTTGAACTAAGTCCAAAAGGACCAATTACACCCGATTGAATAGTAATATTATCACAATTACACATACATTCACATTTGGCCATCAAACCGCCCTTTTCACACAATAGGGCCTATATTTTTGAATTTCACAAATATATATAATTCTTGGCAAAACTCCACATATTCACCACTTTTATACACATATGTTCACATCTAACCCAATTTTTAGCCTACAAATCACATTTCACCACTTATCATACATTATCACACGCGCTAGGCTAAGATTCATAAAATCACCACATATCACATAAAAACATGCTTATGTATCCCATGGCAACTTAAATCATTTACAAATTTACATCATGGCAAGTTCATTATGCAAACCCTTTAATAATATGGAAGTAGAACTACTATACTAGTCTCAAGTCTTTCCCTTTGCCTTGCTCACAATCAAGGCTTATAAAAGTACAACCAAATGGTGAGATAATAATTTTAGTAACATATTAACTCACTACCATCAATTAATATGTATAACTGTAAATAAGTAAAGATTATATAAACATAGGTATTTCCATATAAAAATATATTCTTTTTCATAGCAAACCATTTTCATACTATCTTTTACTATCATGATCATCTACCATCCGAACCTCCATATCATCCTAACTAAAACCATATGCTCTAATATGTTAATCATACACTCACTGATCTGAGTACACCCTTAGTGGTAGAATCACCCAGCCAAATATGTTCTATCCCACTTCAGGATTATGGTTTTCTTTTATCATACATGATTGGGGTGTTATTACTCCAACACCGCATTGCACCGATGCTAAGAAGCATAAATCTCTAACATCGTACCCCACCTAGGCATTAAGGAGAGAATTCTCCAACACTGCACCAATACAAGAACTAAGGAGAAGGAGTTCTCTAACACCATAACCCATCAGGCACTAAGGAAAATAAATGTCATACGTCCTTCCACTACTTCTTCTTACGAGTAAACTTCCACCCCCTATCATGATCATGCTTACATACAAACGACATGTTTGTATCCTAATTCATATACATATATATACATA